TTACATTTTCCTTCTTACATATGCACAGGAGTCATATATGCAAAACTTTATGTCTAACAAGTCTCAAAATGTTACCTAAATAAACATAAAATAAATATTCAAAGTGATAAGAAAGCAGTATCCCATGGTTTAACTGGAAGATTTTTTTTTTCTTTTAGTAGTACCTAAAATAATAATGCATCTTGCAACAGAAGGAGTTTTAGATTCAATGAACTATAGAACATACAAGGCAGTGCTACAGTCACTGAGTAATGCAATGATGAACAAAACAGACCTTTCTCTGCCCTCACCAAGCTAGATGAGGGAAAGACAACTATAAACATGTAAACAAATAAAAAAATGAGCCCATTTCAAACAGACCATAACAAAGAGTAAGAGGATAAAGAGAGTTGAGGAGGTTAGGGAAGCTTTAAATCAGCACTGTAGGGACAGTTAGGAGAAGTCCAGGTAAGTGCACATCACATTACAGGAGGTAAGAGAAGAAATTCACTCAAGGAGCAGGCAGAGGTCAGCTGTGACAAACGGTATTAGGAGGGAAAAAACATGAGGCAAGAGTATTATCCTTAATATTGGCACACAAGGACTTTTAAAAAGGGCATCATATCTGGCCTAAAGTGGGTTATAGGACAGATGGGAGGTGCGGACTAGGGGAGCAAATTTGCATCTCTTTGGGTAAGTCTGCTTTCAGGGGCCTGGAGGGATGTACTTGCAGCGCAACGTGGTGTGAGGGGACAATATGAAGTCTTGCAAGGCAAGAAAACAAATAATTACACAAAATAATTTCAGATTATAAGCAGTGTTATAAGGACATAACCAAGATGATATCATAGAAAGTAGGGAATAGAAACCTACTTTAGGTTTTCGGCTTTAACAATTATTAAACACCAATGATATACCTGGTATTTATTAAAAGTGTTCAAATGTTATTTCATTTAATCTTGAGACCCACTTTTTGGGATATGTACAATTAGCTCCATCGTTATAGGTAAAGAAACTGAGTTTCAGAAAGAATGATTCACCTGTCAAAGATCAATTAGTAAATGGTAGCAATGGGATTTGAACCAAGTTTGACACAAAATTAAATGTCTTCCTATTCAATAAATGATGCTGAGAAAATTGGATAGCCACATGCAGAAGAATGAAACTGGATCCCTATCTCTCACCATATACAAAAATTAACTCAAGATAGATTAAATATTTAAATATAAGACCTGAAACAATAAAAATTCTGGAAGAAAAGCTAGGAAAAACTCTTTTGGTCATTGGCCTGGGCAAAGAATTCATGACTAAGACTCCAAAAGCAAATGCAACAAAAACAAAAATAAATAAATGGGATTTAATTAAACTAAAAAGTTTCTGTATGGCAAAAGAAAGAATCAACAGAGTGAATAGACAACCTACAGAATGGAAAAAAAAAATTCACAAAGGAAATTCACAAGGACAAAGGACTAATATCTAGAATCCACAAGAAACTCAAACAAATCAGCAAGAAAAAACAAATAACCCCATTAAAAAGTGGGCAAAAGAAAAAAAAAAGTGAGCAAATGACATGAACATTTTTCAAAAGAAGATATACAAATGGCCAACAGACATCTGAAAAAATGCTCAACATCACTAATCATCAGGGAAACGCAAATTAAAACC